CAGCTAGTGGGGTCAAACCACTGACCTTGTAGTTAGTAGCAAAATATGTACCCACCAGGCCAAAAGAGCTCCCAGGAACCAGGCGGCACACACAGATTATGCCCAACATCATTCATCATTACCCAAAACCAAACCCACTGCCATTGAGTCGACTCCGACTCACAGTGACCCCAGAGAACAGAACAGATCGCCATCGCCGCCCCCACCCCCTGCAACTTCTCTGAGGTTAGGAATCTTTTTGGAAGCAGACTGCCACATTTTTCTCCGAAGGAGCAGCTGGTGAATTTGACCCACCCACCTGTAGGTTAGCAGCTGAGTGCTTAACAACAGCACCACTAAGACTCTCGTTAATCAAAACCACAACGAGGTACCATGTTCATCCCAACTCAGATGCAAACCACAAGTGTTGAAGACACACAGAACCTGGAGCCTGCACCTGTTGCTGGGGGGGGCCGCCACTGTGGACAATGGCTTGATGGTTCGTTCCCCAGTCAACCCTAAAAACTGGCCCCGGAGAACGTGATGGGACAGGGCGCTACTCTGACACAAACGGGGTCACTGTGAGCTGGAATTATCTTGGTGGTAGTGGTAGTATTTGTTGAACAAATTGTTAGGTTGGGCAGCCACACAGACATGGGGCATGTGAGCGGCTGCAAATAAACAGTTAAGGCAGCATTGGTCGGTGTGCACCAATGAGAAAATGCACAATCAACAATTTGTAAATATAGAACCAGAACAAATGGACCCCCACAGCAACAGGCAAATGAGCAATGGTGTGATGACCACAGAGCTGTTCCAGACTGGACTCAGGGCCAGGCTGTACTGACTGCTAGCTTGTGCAGCTAAACTTCTAAAGTATGCCCTGGGCACAGACATATCGGGTAGCCGTTGCCCTAGATATATTCTCTCAGGCAGGCTGTAAATCAATGCACATGGCTCGGTCAACTGTATGACTGGTTTCCAACTTGTTCCAAAACTAGATGAAAGCTTGGTGTTTTTCAACCTGAGATACTGAGCACCACTTCCTACAAGAGGAAGCTGCAGACTTTCTTATGTACTAGTTGGAACACATGGACTTAAAAGGCCCACCTACTTACTGGTCTACCTTATAAAACAGTTTACTACTTCAATAGATTGTTTAACTGATGACCTAACTACGTCACCTAAGATAAAAAAATTAAAAAAAGCCAACACTCAGACATCGACTCAATTTTGACTCATAGTAACCCTATAGGACAGAAGAGAACTGCCCCTGTGGGTTTCCTAGGCTAATAAGAGTAGAAAGCTTCATCTTCCTCCCAAGAAGCACCTGGGGCTTTCAAACTGCTGACCTCACGTTTAGTTACCCAACCTGTAACCCACAAAGCCGCCTCAGAAAGTTAGAACGGATGCCTTAGTCCCTCCGTAAGCCAGAGAACACACATTCCACAGCCACAGGCTGTCTCCAAGCACCTTACGAGCACACAGCAGATGCCACCAGGAGCAGGAGAAAGAGGATTCACCATAAATTACACCTCCCACCATAGAAAAATAATTCAGACTGTGTTCCTTTCTTTACACATTTAAGAAAGTACTTGCATCATTTTAGTCTCAATTGATGTTCTCTATTTTTCTTCTCTGGTTTTAGTATCCATTGCAATAGCTACACAGGACTCATGGGGGGGGGATTGAATCATGATTTAAGGGTTTATTAAGGAACTCGACAAGTCGGAATACAGTGAGAAATGCTAAAGGTTGAATTGCTTATTAGGACATATTACAAACTTCTGTCAAGTCTGTTAATAAATATCCAAAGGGCATACCACTCACTCAGCTCCACTTCCATAGGTTAGCAAGTCCAGCTTCCCCAACTAAGTGCCCAGAGGCACCCCACTCCACAAGCCAGGCTCTTGCACAAAGTCGCTTGTTTACTTGCTCTGTGGGTTGGGAAGTCAACCATTCTGTTCCAAGCTCTGGGTCCTGGTTCTGCTGCTGCTCCTCTGATGGTGTAACTCTCATCTGGGTCCAGAAGGTTCACCGTGCAGGATTCTCAGATCCAGAGGACATGTTCTACTCCTAGCTTTTGCTGGTAATGCCGCCTCCTCCTGCCTCTCAGAAGGCTCATTTTATGCACAGCAGGATGGCATTGCAGGGAATCTTGTTCGAAATTACTCACAGGTGAATCTTATCAATGTCTTCCCCCCACCTTCTTCCCAGACCCATTCAAGGAAAGGTCATTTGGTGGGTGTTAGAGACTTTGGCAAGAAGAGCCATATCAAATTATGCACTGCCCCTGCAATCATTACATAAATAGGGTAGTCAAGTGCTACATGCAAAAATAAATCTTCAGTTGCTATTTCCAAACTCTGTAGTAAATGCCTATTTCCAAAAAAATCAGCTCTTGAGAACCCGATGGAGCGAACAGCCCCCTAGCACACAGACTGATGGTTGCCATGAGTCACAGTGTACCTGAAGGCCACTAGTGGGCAGGTATGACAAACACCTTCAAATTTCCTAAAACAGTTCTAGGGAGTTCTCTAGGCTAACCAAGATAAAAATTCCTGTGTATTTTTTTTTCAATCTCCTAAATCCCAAAATACAAAAATGAAGAAATCTTTTAGATTTTGGAAGTAGGGAAAGGGGGAAGACCCCCCCGCATGCTGCTTGGACAGTCAACTGAGGCGCATAAGTGGGTTTGGAAAGGGTGTCCCATAGACATCGGGCTGGTGAATGGGGAGTGAGGGCCACAGCCAGGCACAGAAATCTCCCTCACCGTGGGCCTCACCACTAGGCAAAAGGGAATCGCCAGATCAAACCCAGCGTGATGTTTTTCCCTCCCAACTTTCTTGAGGATGTGGGTCCCTGTCTTGGTACATATCACATGTCTACCAGCTGCCAAGCGAGTACTCTCTAATTAATTCCTTGGGAAGCTATGGGAATATATACTACAATTGAGGAGTCACGAAGCAGTTGAGTGGGCAAGAATCCTCTTCTAAGCATTTGCAGGCATGCTAGGGCTTCCCCCCAACAACAGGGCAAGGAGCCAAGCGCTCCCCCAAAACGTCTGACACTCAGAAAATCAGAGCCATCATCTTCCCCAGCACCATCCGTCCAACTGTGGTCTTCAGTAAACAGACTGTCTCACAGATAATACACAATACAAGACCCCTGAGGAATGGATTTCAGCCCATTTATGTATGACTTAATTTCCTCTGAGAAAATTATATTTTTTATGCCTGTTTTAAACATACACACACACACACACAAGCAGTGTCAGATGTCAAAGGCATTCACCATCCAAACAATCCAGCCACCTTCTGACTACTTCTCTGGCCTGCATCTCTTCCCACCAACAAGCACCATCAGGCAAAAAGGCACCTCACAGGGAGCCCCTGGGCTCACAGGGGTGCCCCGGGCCAGAGTTCAGATTCTGAAACCACCACCCCACATTCCTGAACCCCCTAGTCACAGCCACTCCTTTCCCAGCGTTTACAGGATGAAGAACTAAAGGAGAAGCACGGAAAACATCACATTTTCCATGTCTTGGGCATCCAGATCTGAAGACTGTTCTTACAGATTTATCAAACATCTCAGAGGTCAGGAGTTTGAGAAAATAGTTGTAGATCACACACACACACACACAGAGTTTCCTTTCATAAGCCTTAATTCCACAAAGCACAATAGTCTAATAATCCATTAGGATAGACTTTCTCCAATGTCTTTAAGACAATCAAAACAACAACAAAACCCTTCTGTGTCAAGGGAAGCCCTGAGTCTGCCCCCCTCACTATGGCCGTATTTTGCTCTGCAAAAACCACCCGAGGGCCTCCCACATGTGAAGTCAGTTGGCACCAGTGAGCTGAGTCAGCTGCCACTTGACAGGCTCCAGCCCCAGAAATGGCGGTCCTGACTGCATCCACTGCCTAGCTCCAGACCAAGTACGTGCATGGAAGCCCGGGGCTGTCTGGACGTGCCAAACAAGGGCAGCAGAGGGAAAGAGCCACTTGTCCCACTTGACGAGTGCTCTGTAGGTCCCTGGGAAGCCACAGGATGTGGAACATGTGCTCATCAACGTGGGAACCGGCTACTAGGCAGAGAAGACAGCGAAGGATGCCAAGGTCTTCTTGAAGAGGCAGATTGATTTCCACACCAAGCAGATGGGCAGACTCCAGCCAGCGTTGTGGCTGGAGAAGCATGCCATGAAACAGGCAGTCATGGAGAGGATGAGCCAAGAGACTCAGCAGCTCTCCGCTGTGAGAGCAACTTAGGCCCCGGGCAAGGTCTGAGTTCCCTGTAGAATGGGGCTGATTGAGCCTGCTTCAGGGGCCTGGGACTCTGGGCACGGTGTGCGTGCGTGCCTTCCTTCCTATCAAATGCAGAGACATCCTCAAACTTCACCCTCAAACGTTCACAGCTCCTCCTCCCTCCTCCAGGCATTTTAATGAACTGAATCACCAGCCGGCAATGAACTCAAATTCCACTCTCACCCCTGTAAGACCCTCCACTGAACTCCCAGCAGAGTCCATTCCAACTCATTGTAACCCTAGAGGACATCTGCCCCTGGAGGTTCCCAGACTGTAACTCTTTACAGCAGTGGAAAGTTTCATATCTCTCCTAAGGAGCAGCTGGAAGTTTTAAACTGCTGGCCTTGGGCTTAGCAGCGCCCCCCACACACACACACACAGCCAGATATGCTACTGAGGCTCCTCTTGGTCCCGCTTCTGTAAAGATTCTGAACCACAAGCACAGAGGCTGCACATATTTGGGCTTTCCAAAAATACTTGTTGATCACTGCTAACTGATCAGCTTTATTTTATTATTATATAAAAAAATTTAAGCATGGTATTAAGGCCCTGTCACCAACACTTGGCAAACTAGATGGCCACACTGGACCTCAGTTTGCAAAAGGGTACCAAGAAGCCTCCAAAATGCAAACTCACTGTTTGGCATCGAGTTGATGCCAACGAATAGCAACCGTATGGCAGAACTGTCCCCGTGTGTTTTCCAAGGTTGTAACTCTTTTTTTTTAAGTTTGGATTTAACACATGTATCATTCCATATTTCAATCACGTCAAGTAGAATTGTACAACTGTTATCACAGTTTCCAAACAATTTTTTTCTACATGGACTCCTTGACATCATCTCCCTTTGAACACCCTCCCACCACAACTGCCCCCCCCCAACCCGTTATTCTATTTGCTGTCCCTATAGGTTCATCAGTCCAAAAACTGGAAAAGCATGTAACACAGCTTCAAGAGGGGGACCTCCCTTGACATAAGACCTCTGAGATACATTCTATTATGAACCAACAAAAAACAAGCAAAACAATACAAAACAAAAATACAGAAAATGTTGGAAACCAGATCAGGTCCATCCTACATGATAGGTGGGTTCTACTCTT